CTTAGAATAACAATGACCATTGAAAATAGCTGATTTCAAAACAACACCATAACAAGATATCGTGATAAAGCATTGTCATTTCTTGGCAGATACGTGTTATGATTGATAAAATTAATTAAACCATTAACACAAACTCGGTCGACAAATCGACTTATTTCGATAATGCAATGAGAAGACGAAGATTATCAGAACTATGTGATATATTAGCGCAATACATTTCGAACAATCTGGTCACACATATACTTGTTAAGAGCATTTATATATAAAAATAAAAGGTCAACTAGACAGGAAACGGGGTAAGAAATTTATCAAAGGGACTAATTGTTTTAAATCGACTTATAATAATTACTGAATAGTGTTACCTTCTCGTTGACTTTTCAATTTGCTTCCTTTTAGTCAACTTGTTAATGGAAGCGCGATCAACAGTATTTGACTTCGGCAGTGATTTTTCGCATTGATAGTAGTCAATACTGAAATTAATTGTAGTGGGAATCAATCAACTGTGATAGTATGTCATAACTAAACAATGAAGGGCTTTTGGTTGATAATGGTACATGAAAGAGATGAAACCACTAACTCACTTCCCGTAGAATATTACGATGTTTATTTGTTTTCACGCCAAGTAAGCGTGTTATTAGAATATTCTAATAAACTAGCTCGACATAATTGGATGAGTCACCCTGGACGTCCGGGTCTATGCGTGTTGTTAATGCGTTAGCAGTCGAGTAAGTCATGTTCTTGTCTTTATTCGTTAACGAAAAACTTGCTAAACTGTATGGCATCACAACACAAGGGCATTTTCACGACATGGGAAACAAAATACAGAAGCGTCACCGAAGGAAACAAGAACAGGTATGCAATAATTTGAAGGCAGTGTTCAGTACTAGCAGACAACCGTAAGTCATACTGCAGTGAACGAGGACACAAGTGGGAACGGTCGCATGTATTTGGACACGAAGTTAAAGAATATATTAGTAAAATTTGAGAACCATACAGACAATTCACTTACAAAATGTCAATAAGACGTCTCATACTCTGATGCCCCTCCATTTCCACAACAATCATTTTTTTTTAACTTAACATTCCGTCTCCAGGTATTTCACTTTCGATTGGTGATACATACTACCTATATCTATAAACAACAGTGGCACACACCAAATACTTCAAGTCAAGTTATCTAGGAAATTACGGCAGCCTGACATCGTTGTGAATTTTCGTGTCCATTAAATCTCAGAATTCACAAGGAGGTTATTTCGATTCGTAATAGCAATATTGCAGTTAATGAAAGACCTCATCATTGAAACGTTTATATTTAACAGTCCTTAAATGTCTCTGACTAGTCAGGTTTTTTTAGAATTGGATCTTCAGGTGCGGAAACCAAAACGAAGACAAGTGGATAAGAAACGACGACGCATACAAGCAGCTTAAACTAAGAACCAATTCATAAAAGCTCTAAAATAAGTTAGACACCACTACAACATCAATCTAACTTGTGGATAGGTTTCTTATCCAAAAACCCTTTCCTGTCATGCGACTTCTTTTCCCAAAGTAATACCACGTTTCCAGATGCAAAGTTCTACTAGCTCAAATAACAGTGACAATGACGTGCCCATGACAAAAATCAACAAACCCAAACATTTTGACCGTTGTCTTCAGCTCTCATCCATGAGGACTCCAAGTTCCAATCAACTGAAATCTCTAAAACGGACTCAAGTACTGGTATACCACCGAGACTGATTTGAATCAAATATAAATAATTAGGTGCTTAGAGTCAGAATAAATTTCATATTTCCACAGGGTGAGTTCTTTTGTCGTTTCATCTTTTGGTTTAAAGGACAAGCTGTGAACCACATGTGGAGAAATTCGAACACTTCATCTGAAGTTTGTGATGTCGTTCAGGAGAACGATCAAAATGTCCACCATCTCATCATTCGCATTAATTAGAGAGTTGATAGATCCGAATGGCCATCGTCGAATTGAGATATTATAGTTCAACAACAAGCATCAGTAGTGCCTATGTACTTGAATGCAATGTAACCGATGGGATAATTAACTCTGGGGTGTTTAGTGGCTGGATAAAATGCCACAAACTATATACAATAAGGCCTTTAAGTCCGCAAGGTCTTTCAAACTGAAGTGTCGTGCTACGATCACCGTACAGCTTAAGTCAAGTACATTTTGGTCAAGATTATTGGATAAAATTCGCCACGCTGAATTGCTACATCCCTCTCTGATTATTTAGGCAACAGATTACACCCCATCTCGGCATCCAGTATTGCAATTACTAGCAACAGCTTTTGCATAACGATTTCTACATATAAAATACGATTAATGTAGTGAAAACCGTTGTATTTGAATTGACTCCCTATTATGCGTCACATAGCCGGAATTTTGTTTTAAGAAGCGTAGCCGCTCTATATATTGGTCACGTAATTCACAATGATAATAAACATTGTCTGGTTTTCAGTTGTCTGTTTACGTGCATCAGAGCACTGAAGAAACTTAGACGTCAGTATCTGAGTAGTCCCTAGTCCCTTAGTGCTTTGCAGACGTGGTCGTCACAGTCATCACGCTTATGGATAGAAACAAGAGTTTATAAATCAGACCAATATCGAAAGTCATATAAAGGTAAAATAATTTTTGTTCGCAGTGAGTCTATTTTACCTTGAACAACAAGCTAAATATGTTCAGCAAAGGTCCCCTATTAGCCAGAACCATGTCAATTTAGCGATAACTGTTTGTTGACATATGTTACAGACACATTGATATACAGGACTTCGGCTTAAGAAAAGGAAAATTCTAGTCACCTTCCGCTGGTCCTCTCTAAGAGGATGGTTGGTGAACGTACGGTGCATATGGACAACAAACAAAAGACCAGTTTCGATAGATTGATTAAAAGATTCAATTGGTTTTGGACAGTATATACAATTAATTTAAGTCTGCAAAATAGATATCATTTGAAAAATATAAAATAAATGCACAGCAAAAATATACATGGTAGACTATTCACATATTTTTTATGGTAAACGGATTGGGTTGATCTGAAATCAAATGAAAAAAGAAACAACGATCAGTACCAATAGAATAAACGAAGTACATGTGCATAGTAAACGAAAAACTACATGGCTGGATTGTTTCACGGCAATTAGGTGTAACTGATTGGGATACATATATTGATGCCAAGGCACGAAAGAATGTACCATCACACTTACGATGAGAAAAATATACATAATCCCCAAATCAAACAGAATAACTGAACTGATAACCGGGATTGTTGTAACATTATACAAGTTGTTACTAGTATTATTCATTCAACAATCAAATTCTTGTAAATTGACAATGAGGAAAAGAATATGTGATTACTGAATGTCTAAAACTCACGAAGATGAAATGTAGCATACTGTGATATTTTAAGCAATTGTTTATAAAAATGAGTCACAATAAACACGGTAACCACTAGATCATAAGCAAAATTACATATTATGGTTGTGAGTTCAGCATTAAAGAACGAGGGACTAAAAATGACAAGACAGCATGCTGAAGAACACGAGATTCCAAAATCCGATGCACATTATAAGTTATATCACCGAGTAACAAACATTAACTGACAAAAGATAACGTAGCTCACAAAACTTCCCACTCTATAAATCCGTCGTAAATAGGTAGATATGGCAGCTAAATATTTTCGACTATATTACCTTCAAGTGCTTCTCTTTAAAACTCATCAAGATCTGTAGAGATCCAAACAGTTAAAGAATATATATAGCAAGATTACTTGATGAATCGGACCAATCTAAGTCTAGTAAAATCCAGAGCGACTTATGCCAATCTGGGCCATATTTGATGCCGTCGTACAGTTGGTTTGGTTGTAAAAAATTCAGTGTACAACACATCGGTGAGAGCAGTTCGTTAATGAAACCTGGCGTCCTCCAAGTTAGGGATGTTAGATGACTGTGTTCAATTATCATCTCGAAAGGATAGATGACGTTCAGTGGCAAAATTACGTAAGATGCAGATCCGGCAGTGTGTTCGGGTACGTTGACGATCTCCAAACACCAGTTTCGGTGGCTTACGTATATTATATGAATGTCATCCCTTAGACCTCCACATAGTGCATTATATACTGGTATTGGGATTTGTTACTAAAACTGAAGAGGTGGCCAGATCATAACACGGAGCCAGGTATGTGAGAAAGCTATATAAAACTGGCAATTAACTGACGATAACGACTGCTTGGTTGGGGTCGAAGAGATAGTGCTACTCAGTGGCTTGAGATGTTATCAAACATGTTAGGACAAGAACCGATAAAGATTCTGATGTAATTTTCTTTTAAAAAAGAACTTTTTGACAAAGTATTCTCATCGGTTGTACTATCAACTAAACTGTTTCACTCATTTTTTGTCTTGGATCATACTCTCCTCCCTCTATTTCTTCCCAATCCCGTCTTCTTATTATGTGGCACATTGTTTTCGTGCCCATTGGTACCAACATGTGTTCAGAAAAATAAATAAAGGGGTCGAACGAAATTTAAACATTGAATATATTAAGAGCGCTTATCATAAATGCAATGAACCAGAGACATGGGAAATATTTAACAAAAAGTCAATTTTGCAGTAGTTATGTAAGAATCAATAGACGGATATTGAGAATATTCAACATGAAAATGAAAGAAACTAAAAAATTGCTTGAATACCTTTGAAATAAGTGTTTAATTCAAGTTCGGCTAAAAACTCGCTCCTTTGACGATGGAAAAGGTAGCGAGAGTGGTTGTACAGACTTCTTTTGGATGCATAGGTAAGATTTACGAAAATGGATTCCGATAGATTCAGCAGTATGTAACAGACGAACTCGTAAATCATGTGGTTAATTAGGTGGGATATGTGCATAACCTCAAAAGATATATTCAAGTCAACTTGATGTTGTGTCCACCAAGTGAGCGAGAACAGAACTCTTAACCACTCTCACCTGTCCTTTGCTCAATTAAGGAGGATGGTGTTCTGCTATACGATGACAGACTTGCCGAATTGCACGCCCTGTATAACAACAAATTTGAAGGAGTCCATGACACTATGATTAAAAATTTCGTTGTGCAACGGTTCGAGAATTTGCACTAACAATTTTACTGTAGTTATAGACTGAATTACTTATATTTAAAACGGATAGAAGGGAGTGTAGCAAGCCCATTCAACTACTGTATTATTTGTCTACTCACTATAATTCAGACACTTAATTCACTATGTTAAGTTCTGTGTGTGTGATTGAGCGCGTGTCTGCACATCAATCTTAATCTATTCTCCTATTGGTTGTAACATACAGATAATCAATAATTTATCCACACTTGATTGACACTCAAAATATATATGGATTTTTAACACACACATATACACGCTCTTGGTTTCACAGTGTGCTTGCTCGCTGTACGCTTGAGGATTTTATTTATCTTTAACAATAAAATATCTCCACAACTGATGTTCAGGCTTCTGAATAATCTCAAGTAAATCCATAATTCTACTAGGAGATTTAGCCTACCTGAAATACTCAGTTAACGGGATATCATTTATTGGAGTCAGACATGGAGGAAATTAGCCACAACATTTGGTGAATCGCTTTTAGAACACGCACCATTTCTCTACAAAGTCTGCTGCATACTTTCCAAGCGTATCATAAAGAACTTCACATTGGAATTACTATTACAATTATTAACAATTCATTGACAGTCATAATAAATCCACCCATTACATTGTTCCTTTGGAATTATTGCCGTATATTCGCATATTTAAACCCAAAATGACAGTTTTTCTTTCCGGTGAGTCTTATATATATATATTTCTTTTTGTTATTTTTGATTTATTCATATTGCATATTACAATCCTCAGCTTATTATTATTATTGCTTTATCGTATTATGGCACTTGATAATTCGCTAAGCCTTTCATCTACATCTATGTCCGCGGGTGCCATCTCTGTACCTTTACCTGTCTTTAATCCGCGAAAGGCCGAACTCTGGTTTGCACGCTTAGAAAGCTTTTTTGTTGCAAACAGAATCACAAATCAGAGCACGAAATTTAGTTACACAAACTCATTGCTACCACAAAACATCCAACAGGTACTTGCGATTGGAGACGAAGATGTCGGTTTTGATAGGCTAGCAGACATAGCCGACAGAATTTACGAGCGGTCTAAGACTCACTCTGTATCTCACATATAATCAAGCTCAACTGACGAGATCGCCGAGTTACGACGAACAGTTGATGCCCTCACTAAACAGATAGCCCAGCTCCAATTATTGAATACTCCCCACAGTAAGTGTAGAGGAACATCCAGAAGCCGTAGTCCAAGCACTACCAGACACAACATTTGTTGACACCATAGAACGTACGGCAAACAATCTAAAAAATGAACTCCGCCTCGTAACTTCACAAGCGCACAGAAAAAGGAACGCCAAGACCGCTGGCTAATGACGACTGCAGTCACTGGCCACAATTCTCAAGACAGCCGTCTGTTATATGTTACAGACAAAAGAACGGGCACACAGTTTTTAGTCGACACAGGGGCAGAGGTTAGTGTAGTACCACCCACTACACTCGAGAAAAACACACCTGACCCCAAACTAAAACTACAAGCTGCAAACAGGTCTGACATCAAGACGTACGGCAAAAGGCGGTTACAATTAAATTTCAATCGTAAATCTAATTTCTCATGGAGTTTCATCATAGCCGACGTCCTCGTTCCTAAATCGGCATTGATTTTCTGCAACTCCACAAAATACTGGTAGACGTCAGAAATAGGAAACTTGTCCTTGCCGAACAGAGGAATGAGATCAGAGGAATTATATCAAATGAGACTTCCATACATTTATTAGTTAAACCTCATCACGAGAATGACAAATACGTCAATTTACTTAATCAGTTTCCAGACTTATTACGACCGAGTTTCAAACACGACAAACCGACACATACCGTTGTACACCACATAAAGACAGAGAGTCCACCAGTGTTCGCACGTCCAAGACGCCTTGCCCCCTCTCGTCTGGCTATCGCAAAGAACGAATTCAACAAAATGATTGAGTTGGGCATCATACGCCTCTCCGATAGTCCGTGGGCATCACCGCTTCATATGGTACCCAAGAAAAACTCTTCCGAAGTTAGACCGTGCGGTGACTATAGAGCTCTCAACAGCCGGACCATACTAGACAAATACCCTCTCCCAAATTTGCATGACTTCACTCATAGCCTATCTGATGTGTCGATCTTTTCAAAAGTTGATCTCGTCCGTGCTTACCATCACATTCCAATTCATCCGGACGATGTTCCTAAAACAGCCATTACTTCCCCCTTTGGACTATACGAATTTGTTCACATGCCTTTCGGATTAAGGAATGCTGCACAAAGTTTCCAGCGTTTTATCGACCAAGTGGTACACGGTTTACCGTTTGTATATGCTTACATAGATGACCTACTTATAGCAAGCAAAAATGAAAATGAACATCTAACTCACCTGAAAATGCTTTTTGAGAAGCTAAACGAGTATGGGTTAGCGGTCAATCCTGACAAATGTGAGTTCGGAAAACAATTCCTCACCTTTTTAGGTCACGTACTTGATAATCAAAACATTAAACCAGTTCCTGAGGAAACACAAGCTATCAAAATTATCCTTTGCCTGATTCATTCAAGAAACTACGACGTTTCCTTGGGATGGTAAACTTTTACAGACGTTTTATCCCTAAATGTGCAGACTTAGCAAAACTACTAACTGATTTATTAAGGGGACGAGCTAAATCATTAGCAATGACACCGCAAGCAATTCAAGCATTTGATCAGTTGAAAAGCGCCTTAAGCACAGAGGCATTACTCGCACGACGAAAGGTTGATGCACCTTTAGCAATAATGACCGACGCTTCTAATGTAGCAGTAGGTGCTGTACTTCAGCAACGTGTCAATCAACAATGGCAACCCCTTGCATTTTTCTCAAAAAAACTAAACACAACGCAAACAAAATATAGCACATTCGGTAGAGAACTGTTGGCTATCTACTTAGCCATCAAACACTTTCGCTATATGTTAGAAGGCAATTCTTTCACGATATATACTGATCACAAACCCCTAACTAAGTCCTTGATGCACAATCATGATAAATACAGTCCGCGCGAAATTCGTCAACTAGAATTCATTTCACAAGTTGCAGCTGATACACGCTATATAAAAGGCAATGAAAATGATGCAGCAGATGCACTATCGAGAATAAATATCAATACTTTTTCGATCCCTGATATAAACTATCAAGACATGGCAAAGCATCAAAAGCTCGATAGGAGCTACAAAAGCTTTTGCAATCTAAAGAAACGAAATTATTATTCCAGAACATCCCCATAAACAACAAGGACACCTTAACCTGTGATACCTCAACAGGTAAAACTCGCCCCTTTGTACCTAATGATATGAGACGAAACATTTTTGAGAAATTACACAACATATTTCATCCAGGTATAAAAGCCACTGTAAAGCTTATCACAGATAGGTTTGTATGGCCAAACATAAACAAAGATGTACGAAAATGGTCACGGGGATGTATCCAATGCCAGAAGTCAAAGGTAAACAGACATATCATATCTCCTACAGGAATTTTTCCCGCCGCTGGCGCTAGGTTCGACCACGTTCATGTCGACATCGTTGGACCGTTACTAATTTCTAATGGTTGCACGCATATACTAACATGTATAGATAGATTTACGAGATGGCCTATAGCTGTTCCGTTAAAAGACACGTCGGCATCAACAGTGGTGAAGAAACTGGTGAAACACTGGATTACAAACTTCGGTGTCCCTACAACAATTACGACCGACCGTAGAACTCAGTTTGCAAGCAAACTATTTCAGCAACTTACAAATACTTTCGGTATAAAGAGAATTAGAACCACTGCTTATCATCCGACTGCTAATAGAATGATAGAAAGGTTCCACAGACAGTTAAAAGCATCTTTGACGGCCGCAGGAGGAAATTACAAATGGGATGTCAAGCTTCCTTTGATACTATTAGGCATTCGCTCAACCATCAAACAAGACCTCGGTTGTTGTTCTGCTGAGTTGGTCTATGGAACAACGTTACGTTTTCCTGGTGCATTTTTTTGGCCGTGCAACAGATATTCGAGCAGATATAACCAACTACGTGCAACAATTAAAACAGCAGATGGAATCCATTAGGTTCGTTAAACCACGAACCCAAAAAGTAAGGTCATTCGTGCCCAATGAACTGGACAAATGCTGACATGTATTCGTCAGAAATGATAGAGTACGACAGACGTTACAGACTCCTTACGACGGTCCTTTTAAAATCGTCTGAAAGGACAGTAAAACGGCTACAGTGGAAAGAGCAGGTAAACATGATACTGTTAGCATCGACAGAGTAAAACCAGCGTTTTCAGAGAACACTGAAAAACCGTCTAAACCCGCAGCAGAGCAAGCACCATACAAACTGCCTGCAACAAACAATACTTCACATCAAAGTTCAGCAGCAGCAGGAACTACAACAAGATCAGGAAGAGTACACTGGCCAGATAGGCATGTAGCAACAACCATATTTATCTAGACCAAGTCCTGAGGTTGCTCTTAAAACACAAAAACCCTTCTTTATTTTCATTACTATTTCTTTATTAGCCCCACGGATTATCATTATGCTTACATTTTAACTTGATGCAATTCGTTGATGTTAAATATACATTCATATATGCATGATATAAAACGTTTCAACACACAAGCTGTTATTACAATTTAACGCTTACTCATCATATCAAGTTGTACATTTATTTTAAAAACAATTCCGTTTTTTGTCTCTTTGTCGAACATAGATGTTAATAAAAATGTTTTTTTTGTAAATAAAAACATCAATGTTCTGGATGGGAGCTTATGTAGCAAGCCCATTCAACTACGGTATTATTTGTCTACTCACTGTAATTCAGACACTTAATTCACTATGTTAAGTTCTGTGTGTGTATGATTGAGCGCGTGTCTGCACACCAACCTTAATTTATTCTCCTAT